CGCTGTGCATGCGTTATACCGGGTCCACGGGGCGGTACGACATGGCGCTGACGGGAGCGACGCTTCAGAACTTTTTCGCGGATGCGTGCGGCAGGCCACGGAGCTCCACCCCAAGTCGCGTGCGGTCGTGAGCCGGGCCTTCAAGCGACCCCGAGACGTGGCCTGAGCCTTCGCCGGCCTTGTCCCTCCTCCTCCTCCGCTCCTTCCTCCTCCCCCTCCCCCGTAGGCTTGAATCGACAGACTCTGTCGTAACGGCGCGTTCCCGGGAGAAGCGGCCAAAGTGTCGCAACCTTGATTTTGGGTCCGAATAGCAAGATTCTGTCGCAACGGTGCGCTGGTGCAGATTTTATGACAGGTCGGAAGTTCCAGTGCTTTCCTGAGCGGCGGCGGAGGTGCTCAGTGTGTAATCGTGTGCGCTCTTGTCAAACCGCCTGGCGCGGGCGCCATTCGCGGGCGTTGTGGCTGTTTCCCCCCCCTCGCTCTTCCTCCTCTCCCAGTTCTTCTGCCCCCTTCCAACTCGGGTCCAGAGCGACCGGGGTTGTGGTTTATCCGGTTCATTAATTTCGCTCAACGCGCCTTAAAGCGCTCTCGACGCGATGACTCACCAGGGGCGGTGCTTCATGCGCGGCTTTCTATGGGCCATGCTCTTGGCTGTTCCCGTCTTGGCTGATACGTTTGATGCGGGCATTCGCATCGATCGGCTGGCGTATTTCGGCGGCGGGCTTTTAGGTTGCGTGGTTATGCACGGAGCTCGGGCTCAATACTAGCGTGTCAGATGTATTAGTGTGGCCGTTTGGGCCACCTAGTAAGGGGTTAGAACGCAACCTCTGTGCACCCGCGGGGCCGATGCGTTTCAAATGGTAATCGCATCATTCGCCATATGGGTTTTCTTTCTTCGGTAGTGTGCTGGCCCGGAAGAGGGCGGCCAACAATACCACTGATGCACGGATGCCGTGGGTAGGTAAAGTTGAGAGAGGAAAATGAGGAAAAAAAGGAAGAAAATAAAAACGCCGAGGGCGTTGTTGGACGCATGGGAGCAAGAAGGCGTTGCTGGAGGCATGTCAGTTGATTCACACGTTTGGTCTTCTCGGCGCGAGGAGCGGGATGACAACACTAATCGCTGGCTACCTGAGGATGAAGTTTGTGAGTTGGCTGAGGAGGACGAGAGGCGAGTCGTGGACTTTGTTTCGCCGCGCAGCCATTTTATCCTTTGCGGCCCCTCTAACTCTGGCACATTATGTTCATTCAGTGGCGGACGTTCAAGCGGCAACCTAAACTGGGGATTGGCTAGAAGGGTGGGCAGCAACCCACGAGTGGATTCAGGTTTCTCACGTCGGTTGAGTTCGCTAAGGCCAGAATGCATACTGGCATCGAACAGACGGATCGGGATTTCGCGCAGCAGATCTTCCCAGGCCCCGAGGCCGGCAGACCGTGGTCGCCATGACGGCGCTTGGCCAAGGTTGCTACGCGAAGATGCTCGACCCACCGCCGATGGTTAGTCATTGCGGGCACGGTCGTCACCGTCGACGCGAGGGCGCCGCTTTGGAATCACTTGCCACATCGTGGCGATTGAGAGCCCAGGGCCATGCACATGCTATGACACTGAAGGACGTGCCGGACGCGCTTCGAAGCTCAGCACGGGAACCGCCATATGTTGCCGTGCAACCTTACGCGCCTGAGTGCGATGGACAGCTCTGCCAACAACAATATTCGAATGCAGCTACGTCGTTGGCGGCGCTCGAGAGCCCCCTTCATAGTTCGCCGCCGGCAGGGGTGCGGGACGGGGCGCCCGTCCGCGGTCTGAGCCTCTCGTGGTGTTTTCGCGCGTCCGGTTTCGTTTTGGCGCTATAGTGAGCAGTCTGCAGATCCCAGCGCTGAAGTGCTGAAGGCACGATGGCAGGAGCAGATCTCAGCGCATTCAAGTTTGCTGGCGACATCAACAGGTTTGCGCCGGCCGCGCCCATGCAGTCGCTCGCCGGACTCTCTTCCAGGATTTCGGATGCGGGCACTCGCCTGGGGCGCTGTCTCGCGGCGCGCGGGCGCGGCCAGGACCCTTTCGAAGCAAGAACTCATTGTTTTTTCCAGGGCAACGACGTGTGCGCCGCCGGATGCTCCGCCGCGACCCCGGGCCGCCACCCTCCAGAGCTCCGCGATGGGCCGCGTGAGAGATTTGGTGCTCCATCTTAATGTGGGCGTCTCGGCGAAGTCAGAGGCCCCCAGACATGCGCGGCGCTGCCCAGTCGGGTTTCTTCTCCTCGGGGCGGGCCTGGAGTCTCGGGCCCCCGAGGAGACGGCAGCGTAGTCCGTTTTTCGGATTCGCCCAGGACGCGTTACCTACTGGTTTGGGAAGTTCGCTAGAGACCGAGGTGGGCGCCGCGATTCTGCCGGGGTGTCTGGCGAGACCAGACGGGCGGCCACGCCGCGTTAGGCGACGTCTTGGGAGGGGTCGCGCGTGAGAAACCTAGCGAGTAAGCAGATCTTGGAGCATGGGAAACTCGCCCCCACGTTTGCTGGGGCCCCTCATTCGACGGGCCCAGCTGCGTCGAGCGCGGAGTGCCCGCCCAGCGAATCCTCTGCAAGTGTCGCGCGCACCTTTGGGCGCGTCTCGCATCGAGGGCGCGGCCCCGCAGCTGCGCCCGGGGGCGCCGTCGGCGCGGCCCTCGCCGTGGACGTGACAAGTCGCCGCAGACATTGATCGGGCGGCCCATCTGCGACTGCGCGAGGCGATTCGCGTGGCGGCCGAAGACCTCAACGCGTCGAATGGCCCCGAGGCTTCTGAATCAGCACAGCAGATGGACCTCGCAGGGCTCAGGAGTATTCAGTTCGCGGAACGGATTCCCCCGCCTGGTTACGCGGCCCCACGGGGCCCCACAAGAGGACCCTGACAGTTACTGCGCGTCCGCACTCGATCGCGAGCGCCCTTATCTGGGCTGCATGGACTTCGATGGGGTGGGGGGGGCCTTTTTGCGCCTGCACCCGGCGCTCGTAACGGTCTGTTTGAGCCTAGTCGTTGTTGTCATTACCTTCGAAGCCGTGCGAGTGCACTTGCGCCGTATCACGCGCGTGCATTGTCTGCGGATATCCAGTGCGCATATTTCTGCTGCGCGTCATCTCCTTCGTTTTTTTTTTTTTTTTTTTTTTTTTTTTTTTTTTTTTTTTTTTTTTTTTTTTTTTTTTTTTTCAGCGGGGCTTGCGCGTGGCGCGTAGGCCCCGAGCTCTGTCATCACGTGCCGCGCCGCCCTCCAATTGGCGCCCGCGCTGCGGCCTCATTGGGGCGTGCGCGATTTCTTCATGTCGCAATATCCGAAGCCATCGGCCAGCCAATATCGAACCTCGCGAGATTGAATACATCAGAAGATGCCCGGGGATGCACGCATTTCGGCAAGCGCAGCCCCGCCCCTTGCCGGGCGCCGCGGAGTCGGCGCGGCCGAGGACGAGGCCACCCCCGCCGCTCGACAACGGAAAATGCCGCCGCTGGAGGAAAAGGCCCGAAAATCACCTGCGACGAGATCAGCGCAACCATTTGCAAGCTCCTTGTCGCCAGCCTTCGGGGGGTGGTCGACTTGGGCGCAGTCTGTCACATTAGGCGCGAGGTGGAAGCTTGGCAAGGCACGGTCGCAGCCGCAACCGCGGCAGGAAACCAGCGCAACGCAGACAGGCTGGCGCTCCGCAGTAAACGTCATGCAGAAGAGCGGTTGCATCGGAATGCACGTGGAGCTCCGAACTTGTCAGTGTTCATGACGGCGATGGAGCACTGCGCAACCAAAGCAGCGGCAGGGGAGGCGGACCTCGACAAGAAGCAGAGAGCCGAGAAGCTTCGCAGCGGCATGCGCGAGCATTGGGACGAGATGCTGACAAAGGCCGAAATCAAGGAGATGGAGCGCTGGGTGCCGCACTTCAGAGCGCGTCTTCATCGCGACGAGCAGGGGGGGGCCAGGATGTGCAAGTTTCGCTTCAGGATGGACCTGAACACCCAGATGGTCTCCGCGGTGGGCCCGATGATCGAGAACCTGGTGTCTGTGGAGGGGGCTCGTTCCTCTCAGGTTCGGCCCCGCGCCGGCCGTCGGGGAGGGAGATCTCGAGTACCTCGAGGGAACAAGTTAGCATTAGGCAGCAGGCTTCTGAGTGGCTTCGCGAGAGTTCGCGGGCAGCAAAGTTGAGGGGGTCGGGCCGGGGCGGGCGGGGGAAATGAAAGGGTCGTCGTGCCTAGTAGCGGCCTTGCCTTAGCTTCAGACAGGGACTCCATGTGGCTCTGCTCTGCTCTGCACGCCGTCCTCTTCCTCGTTATCCGTCCTGCATGTTCGCCTTCTCGCCCCCCTCTTGCCCCTCGCCGTTCTCTTCTGCCTTCTCTTCGTCTCCCCACCTTCTTGTGTTCCTGCTCCTCTTGCTCCTCCCTCATCGTCCGATCCAGCCACTAGTTTTTTTTCAACAATTTGAGCACCGTGCCCATACGTATCCGATCGGCGCTGGGGTATCGGTCGCCCCCGCTGTGGTTGACCTGGCCGCAGTCACCCTTCACATTACGAGCCCCGACCTATATATATATATATATATATATATATATATATATATACATATACATATACATATACATATATATATATGTATATATGTATATATATGTATGTAAGTCTACAAATATTAATTGTTTTTGAAATCTGACCTGCAGTGGTGGGGCTCGCATGCGGTCGCCTGCAAATGAGGAGGAAGAAACTACATAAACATACTTTCGAAGGTTCGCGCGGATTTCTCGGATCGGCGCTGGGCCCCCTTCCTCGGCGCGCGGACCGCGCCAGGGGCTGCACTGGAGGCGCCGCCAAGACTTCGTCGCAGAACTCCGACAGTTTCTGTTTGTGTGTGGTTTTTGGGGCTCCTCTACCACAGGCCACTCCCCCCCTCGAACCCCTTCCATTCCCACTCTCCCCCTTGCCAGCTTGTCCCATGTCCCTTTAATTGTATACCCACCCTCAACATCCTCAGCAACAAGTCCACCCCACAAGCGCCCGCAGACACGTCTGCCCCAGCAGCGGCGGGGGCTGACGGCACAGTTCCCGCCTGGTCCCGTGTCCGTGCTCGCCTGCAGCGGCAGGGAAGTGGCGGCGCTGGACGCGGAACCGCGCTGGCAGTTGCGCGAGGTGCTGGCGGCGCTGCCCGAGGACGAGGTGGAGGAGGAAGAGGAGGAAGGAGCAGGAAGGAGGAACTGGAGAAGGAACGTGGTCAGTAGGATGGACCAGGGAAGAGAGGGGGGACGAGGAGGATGAGGAAGTAGTATTAATGTTCATCAGAATAACAAGGTTGATGATAATACTGGTGCCAACGATGCGACAAGTAACACTAATAATAATACGAAACAGAATCATACTAATAAGTTTAATACTGACACCTGTAACAATAATAGCACTGATAAGGATACGACTAGAAAGAATAATAACAATAATACTGATAATGATAATATTAAGAAGGACGCAGAAGAGCAGGAGGAAACAGACGGAAGAGGAGGACGACGATGAGGAGGAAAAGGAGGAGGAGGAAGTGCAGGACAATTCGCGGCAGAAAGCTGCGCAACTGGCTTCTATACCCTAGACCACAGCGATTGGATACCACAGCTTGCGCGCTTCGTCAAGCAAGGCAGGAGTGCCACACGCAAGTCGGTGCAAACAGAAGGTTTCTAGACACCAAAGCCGAAGACATTACAGAGGACATCGAAAACCACCGGCCCATGGAGGAACGCCAGCATACCAAAGCGCTCCAGGCGCTTGGTTGAGAAAAGAATTGGCAAGAACACAACCGGATTTGTTCTGGCCAGAAAAGGCGAGCAAGGAGGCTGACTGAAGGACGACGAAGCTATCGCGGAGCAGACGCTGCAACACTTCGTAAGAGTGTTGCAGGCGGTAGGGGTCAGCGACGTCGAGATCGCTAAGTATCTGAACAACCTCACGGGTCTTGCCACGGGATAAGTTCGACTGCAACCGGAACATTTCCCAACGATAGACGATGCCATTACCATCTTTCGCAAGTTCAGAAAATGGAAGGCGCCTGGCATGGACCAAACCACCAGGGACTTCGCCAACGCAGCACCCAAGCAGGTGGCCCTAATTTTGCGCATGCGCTTCTCGGCAAGGGAAATACTCGGAGCCAAAGGCTCAACGGGCGTCCCGCTTGATTCATCAAGGGATGAAGCGGCGCCGTCGACATTCAATACTTCCGCAACATCTGCGTGCACTCGCTCGTCATGACGGTAAACCACGCATGGTTCCGCAGTCGGATTCTGCATCATGTGCTTCCCGTCGCGCTCGCTCTCACGAGGGATACCCAGGTTGGCAGCATCCCGCGCAAAAGGCTCCGAGCTTGCATCACTTTACCTACACAAATTTCTGTTACGGTGCAGCCAGCAGGGTGCAAGTGCAGTCGTTTACTTCCTGCTCGGCCTCCCGAGCCCCAAGAGGAGGCAGAACAACGATATCCATTCTTGGTGGCCCAACCAGCCTTCTCAACGCCACGATGTGCGGAGAGCACCCCCGCGCAGTACTTACATAACCATGCCGCACATGATGGTTCCATGTACCCAGGAGCGGCACGACTGTTCAGCCAGGGAAGGGTAGAGGACCAGACACGAACACACCGTGCCTGTTCTATAGCGCGCTTTACTCCAGGGTGTTGAACAAATTCGTTGCGCACCAAGTTGCCCAAAGTTCAGCACTGCGTTCAAGTTCCAAGTGGGCCGGGTGAGCAGTGTGTGAGCGATGACACATTCGTGAACGACTCCTGCATTATGACGGCAGTCGACAGCTGCTTGGATTACCGCAGATGGCCAACGTAGTCCACGAAACGTTCCATTCCTTTGGGCTGACCACCAACCCTACAAAACAGGCAAGATGGAAGCCCCATGCTCGGCTCACCATCTTTTGATGGTGCGCGCACCGCTGTTCACAGGCGGTCAACCGACAACCCACGTCCGAGGCATCGTGGTCCTGGTCCACATCGTAAGGAGCTGCCGTCCCGCGATGTCCACGAAGAACTACGGCGAGAAACGCTTCTCCAACGGCCAGCTTCAGGCCGAGGCGTGCATCGAGGACTTCCGGGCGCTACTATCCAACCTCAGATGAAGGCTGCTACGCGAAATTCTCGCGAAGCTTGCCCACAACCTCTCGCGCTTCTCGACCTCGCTATCCGATCAAGACGAGAGCTGGGCTGGCCAGATCAAGCTCGACATCCGGTGGCCTTGCAGCTACGTCACTTTCGAGGGCATGATGCCCGGCGCAGATGCAGGACTGGATGACTGCCTGCAGCTGCGCAGAGAACAGCCGTGCAAATGGTTGAGCTGGCGCGAGCAATCCCGAGTCAGCCGCAGCTGCTGGCGCGGCGACCATCAACGCCTTTTCCGCATGTCAAAGGGAAACGGAGGCAGCGGGTGCGACGCAACTGCAGAGGAGCTCGACACCACCATGATCGTTGACATGCAGGGCCAAGGCGATCAAACAGAGGAGCAGGACTTCGGCTACATCTGCTGCGAGCGCGCGCCCACAGGCGGACCGGCAAGGGGCCTCGACGCGCGCGCAGCCACGTGTCACGCTGCGCGCGACGCGGCAGAGAGATGGAGCAGCGGGGCCACGCGCGCTCATTGCTCGCGTCGCTTCGGCACGAGAAGGCGGCGGCGCGCGCATCTCAGGGCCCGAAAGGCCTGTCTAGATCACTCCGTGGAAACGACGCAGCCCCTCGCCGGCGAGATGATGATCGCGTCGAAGCAGGAGGGACAGAGGGCGGCGGCGGTGTTCAAGCGCCGCGGATGCAACGGGCACGAGGCAATGACCCCTGCGAAGCGCGCCACGATCGAAGACTGTCTCGACGACGACTGGCAACCATTGGACGCCGATATTCCGCAAGAGTGGAGGGCGCCATGTATGTGCTGGCCCGGCTCCAGCGAAGACAAGGCAAGAAGACGTCGTGGCTGGCGACCGCCAGCAAGTAGCTGGACTGCAGCCGCAGCGCGACATCAGTCTCCCGAGCTTCTACGACGCCCGCTGCTTCAGCGGCGGGCGGAGGGCGGGCGACGCCCAGTTCCGCCCGGGGAGGGGCCGGCAGGGGGCCGCGCCAACATCCGCGCGCCCAGCGTCGACATCATCTACGGCGAGATGGGGGACGCTGGAAACCCCGAGGCGTGGGCTCGCTGGTGCGTTGCGGCATGCCGAGGCAGGCTAGCGGCTTGGCGCGCTGGGCCCCCGTGCGAGACGCGGCCCGCTGCGCGCCTCGATATGCTTGAAGGCGCACGCGCGCAGCCTCGCCCAGCTCGCATGAAGGAATGGGCCAAGCTGCAGGTGGGCCATCAACTGCTTCGCTGAACGCTCCTACCGGCGCAGATCAGCTCCAAGTCGGGCGCCTCGGGCAGTTCTGAGCACCCGGGCTCTCCGACGAGGCGCGCGCGAATGCCTGGCATCTGGCTTCTGCGCGAATGGAAACGCGGTGGATGCGCGCGAGGAGACAGGGCGCGCGCCGCGAAGTCCGCGAGGGGCTCATCGCCAACGTCATCCACGCGAAGCACTTGATCGAGCAGCCCACAAGCCGAGGGCGCCACGACGGCGGCCGAGGAACTCGCCGGCAGCTATTCGGAGAACACCAACCACAGCAACGTATTTGCACGTTCGGGGGCCAGCTCCGCGCCGAGGGCACCTGCAGCACGTCGACGACATGGCCCCGGCGCGCCAGGAGAAGACCGAGCTGCCCATCGAAGTGGAGCCCTCCGCGATCTCTGAGGACGACATGCGGGCAGCACCTGCTGCAGAGGACTTCGCTGACCGGGCATCTTCGCGGCCCTCGAGAGAGCGGCGGGCCCCCCCCGGCCTCGATGCCCCCGAGGGGTCAGGCGGCGGCAGCGGCGCCCCCACGCCGCGGCTTCATGGGGCCTGGAGGCAGCGAGGCGCAGTGCCTTCGCTGCGCATTTTCCTATCTCTCGCTGCGACTCGCTCGATCGGGTTGCGACGGCGTAGTAGAATGAAAAGAGGTGCAGGCGACGGCGTAGAATGAAAAGAGGTGCAGGAAGAGGAGGAGCGGGGGCATTGGGCATTGGGCAGGAGGAGGAGGAGGAGGAGGAGGAGGAGGAGGAGGAGGAGGAAAAGGAGGAAGAGGAACAGCACTTCCAGGAGCTGCGCGGAAGGTCCCCCCCTTTCTCGGGCGGCGCCCGCCAGAGGACGACGGGTCGCTCGGGAGCGAGAGGCGCATCTTCCTCGGCGAGGCGAGCCTGGGACTCAGGATGAGCCCGCCCCAGGGCGGGCGGGGATCCCCCCGCTGTTTTTTGATCTTGGTTCGTGATTGGCACGATGTGCTTCATCGTTTTATGCACCAGACTTGTTTCATCAGTTCTTCCATCCTCAAATGCATCCATCATTTGATTTTCCGTACCTTTTGTATATCCGTATCATTGTTTCGTTCCACTTTCATCATGCAACCTCGGCGCTGTCCAGATGCTGGTTCGATTGCAACCAGCTGTCGCTGTAGCGTCTTACGTGCGATGACCCTTACGATGGCCCTATTGGGCATATTTGACGACCCTTCAACAAGTCATTACTTGTAGGGTAGTATCACACCAATCAATAATTTGTTTGTGCATACCCCCACACTGGAAGCCTTTGTTGTGGTGACCTTACAACAAGTTCACCTTGTGGGGTGTGCGCAGTGGCCTCCGCAACATCTTGTTGTAGCGGCCTGCGCACTGGGATTTGTTGCGGCGGCCTTACAACGCGATTCCAAATGCAGGGGATCTGCCGCGGCGGCGTTTTGAATGTTTTCGCATTGGGCAGCAAGAAACACTTAGAACACCAGTGGCTTTCGCTATTTGTTTTGCAGATGCCTCGTAACTGGAATCCTTGTGTGGCAACCATTACAACAAATCGTATGTGTGGTGACCTTCCACGAATACTAGCTAGCATTGTGGTACCCTGCCAGTCGCCGCCACCAGTGACACCCTTTTTTGTGGCAGGTTGTGCAGCATGATCCCGTTGGTTGCGATATCCAAACCAGGACTGAAATTGTGACGGGCCCGCAGTGGCTTCCACCATCGGAGCCGTTTTGGTTGCAAATTGTGCAGGGGGGTCAGCGTGTGGCGGCCTTGCACAAACAATCCCGTTGTGCAGGCTGCTACACAGGGGCTTAAATTGCAGATGCAACAGCAAATCCCCCGCAGCTCGTGTTTGTTGGCTTGTCATATCCCCACATCCCCAAAACAAACAACAGTGTTTTAATGTTAAAGTTGCCCCAACACGCTTAAACATGTGGCGGCCAGCGCGGGTGCTCCACGCGTGATATATCTCAGGGGAGGCCGCCACACAAGACATCGTTTTGTATTGGCTGCTACGACCAGTAAATGTGTTATTTGTTTGGGGGATGTGCACCAACATAACTAACGATTCGACGGCTGTCCTAGCTTGACCCTGATCCTGCCAATGTGACGCCAAAGGGTTGGTTGTACGTTTCGCGTTTATCCTGGTAAGTTTCCGTGGCCCCACGGAGATCTCAGTGGCGGCTCCCGAGGGCCGCGGCAATTTAGTTGGAGCACGTGAAACCACACGGGACACAATAGCATATGTTGGTCTTCCAGTTGGGGTATCAGAAATGGACCAGGCAACATTTTATGTTCGCTATTCTGATTGGTTGCGCATCCTCCACACGTTCTGCCATTTTGATGTGTTGCAGATCCTCAGATTATTGTGTGAGATAATTACACAAATAATCCTTTGCAAACGCTGTTACACAAGGATTGCACATGTAGTGCGCACTGCAGATAGCCACGCTTGAAAATCCTTTTGGATGTCGCCACAAAGAAGAATCCTTGTGCAAGATCGCCAGACAAAAAAAAGAACCAGTGTGTAAAGGCTTCGCCGAAGGAGGCCACTGCAGACGTTCCACAATTAAAATCATGTTGGGGGACCGCTTCAACAAGGAATCCTTCTGTAAAGGCTGCTACCCTTGGATCCCATTTGTGGGGGAGGGTCTGCACAGTACAAATAGCGAGAGGCACAGGTAATCCTCGCTATTTGTTGTTCCATGTGAAACACATGATTTTGTGGTTTGATGTGCAACTTGTTTTATTTGCGTGGTAAGCTTCCGTGGCCCCACGGCACTGCTCCTGGAAATCCATTACAATCAAGCCCATGGTGCAACGTGAATACACATTGATATCGGATATGGTGTTTTTTTGATATGATATTGACATCGAACTTCTCAACTTGGCTTCAGTTGTGGAGGATCTCAGTGGCGGCGCCGTGGAAACCTTACAATTGAAGTCAGTTTGTCCATCCGCCTCTACAGGAATCAACGCGTAATTCTCCTTAGCTTGGCACATGGTGTGAACAGATGCACCACACGGTACATGTAGGTAACGAGCAAACACCAGATTGCGTTGTCATCGCGCAAACGGCAGGTCCTACGGATTTCCACCCTTCGGCAGCGCGCGGACGAAGACAGCGACGTCCACGCCGGAGGTCGACAGAACCCCTTCTTTGCCAAGAGGTTTCCGACAGGGTGTAGCGGCCGCATATTTCGCGGGCTTGCGCCCGCCGGGTCTGGTGCCGGGCCGTTTTCATTGAAGCGTCTTTTGGTAAAGGGATTTCTGTTTTTTTTTCGAGTCATGGGTGTTGTGGGGGGTCCTTGCCGCCACTGCTGCACGCAGCTCGGGAGACGGGTCAGTCTGGGCCCCCGGAGGGGCCCGGTCACCCTTTTTTGGCGGGTTCTTGGGCCAGGGGCAGGGCAGAGCGAAGGCGGGTGGAGGCCTTCTGGAAAGCCGTCATGCCCGCGAGGGGCCGGCCTTCTCAGAGGCTTCCGATCCCTTGCAGAAGCCCTTTGCCTTCTTAGAAGGGCCGTGCCTTTCGCCCCTCTCCCCTGCCCCATGCCTGGCGCGCCGACCACCGCCCGTAGGCGTGGGGATGAGGAGGCGCAGCGGAGACAGGATAAGGAGGAGAGACGAGGACGAGACGACGGAGATCGTCGTGATGATGATCCTGCTACTGGTGTTGATATTATGACGTTGAGGAGGAGGCGGAGGAGGAGGAGGTGGAGGAGGAGGAGGAGATGCACCCTGATTAGGCTTGAAGACGGCACGGGCTGCGAGGTCCACGTTTTCTGATCCCTTCCACGGTGCGCTCTTGCCAAAGGCTGCGGGGAGCTGGTCTGGGGCTGATCGACCAGCCGCTCCCCATCCCTCCTCCCTGCGCTTTCCGTGTATTTCATCGTCTCCCCTCGTCCTTTCTCTTTCCTGCTCCTGCTAGGTCCTCCATCCTCCTTCCCTCCCTCTCCTCCTTCCGTTTACACGCACGGATGTGTTCAGAATTTTCAGGTTCGGGCGGGAATATGGGTAGGGCTGTGGATGTTACCCTCTGGAAGTTGCTCTAGAGGCTGATGTTTCACATTGTTCTAGAATCAAGGTTCGGGGAATGAGGTGCATCGCCCGTCTTGGACCTCCAGAGATCTTCGGAGTCCTCCAGGGGTCACCCGCACGGGCGCGAAGATGATCACGCTTCGCGATTCGTGGCCTGGGCCAGAGCTGCCCTTCTCCCAGGGGTGGCGCAGGTCGCGATGATGACCTCGCGTCACACTTCGCGTGGCGCGAAGAGACGAGCCGAGGACCCAGGTTCTCTGCTGCTGTCTGGTGCGGGAATGACCTCCAGCCAGTTAGGTGTTCCGATGCCCCCGTAGCCTCCAACAGATCTGCAGGGCACGTCCCATCTGTATCTGCCTGCCCCTGGTCCAAGCCGTTGAGGAGTCAGCGTGATGTGCAGCTGGCATGTGAGGATATCCAGCATACGAGGGAGTTTGTGCACGGCCGCCTGTCCTTGACCAAGCCTGTAAGATGAGGAGGAGGAGGAGCAGTGGCAGCAGCAGTGGGGGAGTGGGATTGAGGAGCAGGACGACGACGTTCCTCCCCAAGGCGGAGCTGCGCGGGTCTCTGACCCTGGCCGAGCTGGGCGCCACGAGCGGATGCGCGCTGACTCTGGTCGTGACCTCGTCGTTGTCGATCTTGTGCGGCTACGCGAACATGGCGAAGATCTGGTCTTCGGAGCCCGCCAAGTGCCTGCGCACCATGAAGGGCCACAGGGATTCGGTGCTGTCTGTTGCGTTCTCCCCCGGCGGAGAGCTGGTGCTGACAACGTCGTATGACGGCACAGCCAAGGTGTGGTCTGCGACATCGGGGACGTGCACGTGTTCGCTGGAGGCCGCCCGGGGCCGGGGCTCGCTGCTGTCCGCCGCATTCTCGCCCGATGGGCTGAGGGTGTTGTCCTATTCGGGCACGAGCGTGGCGAAGATCTGGTCGGCCGTCTCCGGCGAGTGCCTGCACAGCCTGGAGGGCCACCAGGGCACGGTGCGGGCCGCAGAGTTCTCGCCCGACGGTCAGCAGGTTCTCACCGCGTCGGAAGATTCCTCTGCGTGGGTCTGGTGTTCTGCCTCTGGGCAGGTGCTGCACACCCTAGAGGGGCACCTGGATTCCGTTCTCCTTGCCGTCTTCCTGCCAAGCGGACGGCAGGTGCTCACTTGTTCGAGAGATCGCACGGCGAAGATGTGGTCCGCTTCTTCTGGAGAGTATGTGCGCATGCTGGAGGGCTTGCAGGATGTGGTCGTGACTGCTGCATGTTCAGCGGGTGGGGAGGAGGTGCTGACAACTGCGAGAGACCGCGTGGCAAAGATTTGGTCTACAACTTCTGGACAGCTCATGCGCGTGCTGGAGGGCCACTGGGACTTGGTGATGTCAGCAATTTTCTCGCCCGACGGGCAGCAGGCGTTGACCACGTCGATCGATCCGGTTGAAGGACAAGCTTTTTGAACAGTAGTCTGTACTTTGGGGCAGTGCGCAGGCTTTTGTGGGTCCTGTGGGGGCTTGGGGGCCCTCGCGGCCCTTACGCTAAGAACTCCTCCAACTAGCTGAGAAAGTATTAAATCCTGTTGGGGGTGGAAGAGGAAGAGTTACTTTGCATCGGGGCAGTTCGGATATTGGCGCGGGGGCCATCGGAAATAGCGCCCAGACATATTTTGCATCCGAAGTTGGCCCCTCCAGAGGTGTTCAAGATCGTTGTCCTTCGACAGTCGCACGGCGAAGGTCTGGTCTAGTGCCTCTGCGGAATGCCTCTACACGTTGCAAACCAACGACACCATTGTACAGTCTGCCCGCTTCTCACCTGACGGGCAGAAGGTGTTGATCGCGGCTCGCATTGTGAAGGTTTGGTCTGTTGTTTCTGGCGAGTGCGTGCTCACGCTGGAAGGCCACGTTGCCACATTCTCAGGTGCCTGAAGTACACCCCATCTTCGCCTAGCAAGACAGTTTTCGGCAAAGGGCGAGTGGTTGGGGTAGGTGGGTGAGCCTCGGGAAACAGCGGCTCGTCAGACATGTTTCTTCTTCGTCGTCGTCCTCGTCCTCTTCCTGCCCCCATGGTCACACAAACCCTTGCGACGCCCCCGATTTTTTGCAGGCCCTTCTGTTTCGTTGTCCTGTAGGGGTGCTGATCAGATTTTTCCGAATCACGGACCGTTACGTCCGAGTTGATTTTTGCGTGTAAGCATTCGCAGGCTGGCTATAATTTTCGTCATTCGATGTTCGATGGTGCTAAGTCGCATTGATGCGTTGGAGTATAGTCGAGCTGCTTTTTGATTACCGTCGAGACATTGAAGTCTTACCAAGCTGATTGGTCATGCCGGAGTTCGTCCCTGCTGCAGGAAGGTCTGGACAAGCCAGGTCGGAGCCTGACGTGTCCAGAGCTTCGCTGTCCTGGCCCTCGCATAGGCCCTCCGAGGTGAACTTCGCAAGTCCCCCCCGCCCCCCCCTCACCCTCAACAGAAACAAAGGCCGCAGGCATCATCTGCCCTCCTCATGTGCTTTCCTTTCTTCCTCGTCGAACTTTCTAAATCGCATCCTCCGTAGCCATTGGGGCTATGAAGACCGCGGCTGCCATGATCCCACGTCCTCCGCATTCAAGGTGGTCTGCGCCAGCTTGCCCTTGGGCTCAAAGGTTTTGGCGATCACAACCTTTCGGCAGCTTGGGCCGCGCAGTATGCCCCAATGTTGCCCCACGGTTGTGCGAGGAACACGGAGCGGGAATCGAGGTACGAGGGCGGAAGAGGCGGGGGGTCGAGGGAGGAGCGGAGATTTTCTTGGAAGCATGCCTCTGATCTAAGGTCCCCCAAGGGTGGCCCCGGAGGGCAGAGCACTCGGACGCGCCCAACAGTGCATAACGGGTGAGCAGACTGGCGAAAGGGTGCGGGCGTTGGCATCGCTCTCAAGGTACACCCCTGAGACCGACCTAGGAAGCGGTGCTGGGCGAGAGGCGTGGGAAAGGGCATGATTGGAGAGGGAAGATGAGAAGGGAACGCCCAGTAGACGTTTGCTTGCGCAAGGGCGTCACACGTCATGGAAGACGGGTCTAGCTCGTATTACCAGATCGCCAGTGTCGCAGGAGTTGTTGCAAGTCCGTTGGTGGAGATGCGCGGCGCCCCTGTCGGAGCCGCGATCCTTTTTGATCCAAGAGGGTCGCGGTCATGCGCCCTCGCAACATCCCTAAACTATCTTCATAGCTCTGGCACGCCTCCCCGCCGCGTCTTTGCGGAGCGAGGTGCGGCGTCCCCCGCGGAGCCTCCCGCTGGGAGCGGCCTCTCAGGGGTTGCTGTGCACCATGATGGGGTCTGTTGTGCACCTCTCAGGGGTTGTTGTGCTGTAGCAGTCGTCACATTTGGCGTCCTGATGCCTGAGTATTGAGGAAGTCTCGAACGGGGGCCTGGTCTGTGAGCGAGAGAGGAGGTCTCGAGCGTGAGCCCTCCTCCCGATGGGGCCCGTGCTTCATGTTAGTGATCCAAAGTGGTCATCCTCAAGCATACAGGTGTCGTCACTGTTGGGCTCCTGATGCCTGGCCAGCAGGAAGTCACGAGCTCGTCTGAGAGTGAATCCTATAGGAGTCTCGGGCGAGAGCGCGCTTCCTTATGGGGCCCACACTTCATGTTAGTATCCCCAGGCGGCCATGGGAACACCTCAGCAATGAGTTTTGAGGAAGTCTGGAGCGGGAGCCCCCTCCCTCTGGGGTCCGCACTTCGTGTTAGCAAACCGAGGCTACCATTGGAAAACTTGTGTACATGTCGTCAATTTGGGGTCCCTGGTGCATGAGCATTGCCGAAAGCTCGAGCGGGAGCCTCGTCTGTGAGTGGGACGCGTGGAAGTCTCGAGCGGGGGCCCCTCTCGGCCTGGCCCGCGGGGTTGTCCCAACGGTATCGTGATCTGGCCATCAGAGAATGTGCACCTGCTGGCCGAGGCGGCGACGGCGCCAAGGAACATCTACTTGCGCGCCCTTGCAAGAGGAACGGGGGAAGAGGTGGATTGGGAGAAGCGGCAGGAAGACAAGGACGAGGTCGAGGCAAAGCAGTGGGCGGGGGGGCATCCGCCAGGGCGGAATAAAGAAAAGGGCGCCGATGAGACAGGAGGATAGCTTGTGCAGTCACACGCTGGTGATGATAGCACCCGGGCAAGTTTGGAAGGTTATCGTGTGGGGCCTTGCCGCCGATTACTTGCAGGGTGTCCTGGTGGCCGCCCCGGGTTGCCAACATGAGGCGGGGACCCCATATCCAGGAGCCCCTTCTCGAGACTTCCCCGCGCAGACGAGTGAGCGCCCGAGACATCCTTCAACATCGCTTAGGAGCAACGCGCCCGCTCGAAATCTCCCTTTGGTTCAAGCGTCCATGTGTCACCGAACTTCTGGTTACATGATGTTCCGACAGCCTCCACGAATTGCCAACACGATAAGGGGACCCCGATAAGGAAGGACGCCCGCTCGAGACTTCCTCGCGATGCAATCACAGACGGGTGAGCGCCCGAAACATCTTCTCAATGTGTTCCAGAACGAGGCTTCCGCTCGAGACATCCCTCGGGTTCATGCTTCACGGTGTAATCAGAATTGGTGATCACAGGGTAACCCGATGGCCGCTTCAGATTACCAACATGAGGTGGGGACCCCATAGGGAAGGGCTCCCGCTCAGGACGTCCTCGCGATGCACCCACAGACGAATGAGCGTCCGCGAAGCCCTTTCAAATTGATTGGAAACGAGGCTCCCTCTCGAGACTTTCGTTGGGTGTCACCAACACTGTGTGCTTTACATGGTATTCCGATGGCCGCCTCGGATTATCAACATGATGTGGGGACCCGATAAGGAAGGTGTCCCGGTTGAGACTCCCTCGCGCTTCACTCACAGACGAATCTTCCGTTCGATATTTCCTCAACGCTTCTGTGTGAGTGTGTGGGTGAGCGTGTGTGCGTGTGCGGATGTGTGCGATGGTGATGATGTTGATGATGATGATGTTGTTGTTGATGTTGATGATGGTGCTGATGATGATGATGATGACCATGCTGATGCCGATGATGATGATGATGATGTTGATGATGAAGGAGTATGTTTATGATGATGCTGCTGATGATGGCGGTGACGAGGTTGAGCATGATGATTGCGTTGATGATGGTGAAAACGGAGATGATGGTGATGGTCAGTGATCATGATGGGGTGATGATAGTGATGCTGTTTGTTGTGTGACGGTGATGGTCAGTGTGAAGCGAGACGGGGAGGAGAGGAGGGGAGTGAAGAGGTGAAGGTTGCGCGGGGTACCCAGAGACAACAAGACGCCCACTTAGGATGTTGGAGAAACCGGTATCAAACAATACGTTCGGTCCCCAATGTTGTTCCGTCCCCCAAAAAACAAGTTCGAAGCACATGTTCGGTCGCACTTCCCCCCCGGGGTGGCGCGAGAGGTCGCGAAGCTGATCATGCGGACGCCCGCCCAAGACCTCGTGTCGGACAGCAGCCGAACGCATGCCAGCGCCCGGCCCTCCTTCCTCTCCTCCTCCTCGACTCCTCATCGTCTTCTCCGTCGTTGTCTTCCTCATCTTCCCCCTGTTCAACCAGGTGGAACGAGGTGGGTCTGGGAGGAACGGGGTCCTGTATTATTTTGTCGTTCTTGGTACCCTTGGGCTCTCCACGCGCCTTGGGGCCGTTAAGCAACGACTCGGGAGTAAAAGCTGGTCCTAGGGAAAGCCCATGAGACCAGGACCCACTTCCCTCAGGATCCTTTTTCTTCATGGCGATGTTTCTTCGTCGCCGTTGTCCACTCGAGGGCGAGGTGTTGCCGAGGGAGAGGGCCCCTGCTGTGCCTGCTGTTGGCTTGGGCTCCCACCAGGCATAGCACGGTGGCCACTCCCGCTAGACGCCCCCCCTCTAGAGTCCGTTCATGGGAGTCGTCGTCGTCGTCGTCGCTGTCGGCGTCGCGTTCTTCATCTTCATCCCCATTTCTCGAAGCTGCTCCTACAGACGCCCACCCAGGACCTCGTGTCGGACAGCCGCTGGCGTCGGGGCCCCCTCCCGCACCCTGCCCTCCGTCCTCCCTCCTCCACGGGCGCAGTTCTCCGACGACATGTTATTTTCAATCTGGACGTGCTTCCTCGATTTTGGCCCCTGGGGCCCTTCACTGGGCCCCAGGACCAAACAAATCGTACCCGCGGTGGGAAATTGGCCCAGGGGAAGGGGTTGTGCCTTCTGGGGCCGCGCATTGGATAAACAGGTCGGTGAGTGCCTGGGGATACAGGGGCAGATCTCAGGAATCAACCCGCGTGCACTTGTTGGTTTCGCCCGTCAGACGAAAAAGAGACAAAGGCGAATCTCGGGGGCGGCCAAGATCGGGGTGATGACTCGGGGGGTGAATATCCTGGCCAGGGCCATGGAATCTCCCCGGATGTCATGTCCCCCTGTTCTCCTTTCAATGCGTTCCCTTGAATCCCACACTCGTCCCCGCACATGTATCGGACCATGGTTTGCGAACCTCCCTCGTATACTCCCCCGAGAATCATTTCGACCGCGGCATGTACGATTAGATCGTCGCCGTCCCCCCCGACGCTGCACGAGGACCTGGACAAGGCGGCGATGACGATCCAGAGGAACTTCCGAGGCTCACAAGCCAGGAGCTGTGCCACGGCTTGCAGCGGCAGTAAGTAGCGGGGCAAGGAAGTACTTATTCCCAGACGTGCTCGCGTAGTGAAAGGAGGTTTTCGGCAGCTTTCGGCCCATGGGGGCCCTCGCCGGTCAGCAGGACCAACAGCAAGTTACCCAGGGTGAAGAAAAAACTGGCCCTGCGGAAAGGGTCGGCATTTTCGGTGACGCCGCATTTACAAAGATCAGGACATCGCATGCCTGGGTCTTGCCCAGAGAGTAGGGGAAGAAAGTACACACGGATCGTCGGAATGCGTATTTCTTGTTGGTGTGTATGGACGTCGGAGTTCTCCAGAATTTGTCGAGCGTTTGAGCGGCGAGTCTCAATCGAATTTTGGATGGCTCCTCAGAGACTCAGATACCTCGGTGAAGTCGAACACAACAGCAACACGGAGAGATGCTTACACTCAAACACACACGCAGAAATCTCAGCCAGCGTGGACCCCAAACTGTGTTCTAGCATACTATATGTTACAATCTATGTAGTGCAATTTGTACCTGGTGTAGTATATGTGGTGCAAGATATGTGGTGCAATTCACTCTGCTGAACTTGAAGTCGTCATCTCCACTGCTCGCGCAAACATCCCACACACCCACCCGCAACTTGGTTTGCAAAACCTCTTAAGACCGACTACGACGACACCGACGACAACGACTAGGACGACACCGACGACGTCTCCGACGACTCCGACGACGACAACGACGCCGACGCCGACGACGACGAAGACGACGACGACGACGCCAACGAAGGCGGCGACGAGGGAGGAGGAAGGACGACGACGGCGACAACGACGACAACGACGACAACGACGAGGGAGGAGGGAGGACGGCGACGACGCGAACGACGACGAAGGAGGAAGGACGGCGACGCCGACGACGACAACGACGAGGGAGGAGGGAAGACGACGACGACAACGACGACGACGACGGCGGCGAAATAGGAGGGACGACGACGAGACGCCGACGACGCACGACGACGACGACGTGGGAGGAGGAGGAAGGACGACCGCGGCGACAACGACGACGGAAACGACCACGACGCCAAAGAGGACGACGACGACGAACACGAGAAAAGACAGAGGACGACGTAGGCGACGACGACGCCGACGACGCGGGAGGAGGGAGGACGGCGGCGACGACGACAACGCAAGAGCGCGCGCGTGCACGCTTTTGTTGAAAATCAGTGTTGCGAAACCATTGGTTTTTGGTAGGTTTTTTGGACGCACGATTTTGAAATCCTTCCGAAACCGATGGGTTTTGAAGGTTTTCGGCATACGCCCGCGACGACGCGCGCGTCTGCACTTCGTCTTATTTTTTGCAGAGGGTTCTCGCGACGGCACACGCGCAAGGGCGTTCGACAGATTTCGACATGCGCGCGCGCGAAGCCCGTTTGGTAGCATTTTGTGAAAATCTTGAAGAACCTATGGTTTTCCTCAGATTTCGCAAGAGCTCGCGCGGAAGTTTTTTTAGCAAATCAGTGTTGCGAAACCATATGTTTTTGTATGTTGTTTGGAAACTCGATTGCGAAATCCTTCCGGCACCGAAGGTTTTTGAAGGATTTCGGCATGCGCGCGCGACGACGCGCGCGTGTGCACGTCGCCCTTTTTTTTGCAAGGGATTCGTGAAAAAGTGTTATGCTAGAACAAAACATGTCACCGCATAGTGTTATTCACCAGGGAACCTCAGGGGGGGGAACCCGGCCTGCCTGGGATGATACGATTTCATACTTAGGATGGACGAGTGTGCAGAAAATCTATGAAATCATATTATTCCAGGGGGAAGCGATAAGTCCGGGGGGGGGGGTCGAGTTTATTCTTTTCTTAGAAAGGAGAATATACTGGTGTGTCTACGTGGTTTAAATCACGTGGTTCAACATGTGTGGTGCAATCTATGTGGTACAATATATGTGGTGCAATCCATTTGATTCAGTCTCCGTGGTGTTATCCATGCAAAGCAGTGCAAAGCAGCGCAAATCAACAATGCACATCAATGTAACGCACTGTAAAGTAGCGCAAAGCAATGCAGCGTAAGGCAGGCTCAGGGCGACGGGGCTGCGACGGCGACCACATAGACGCCAGACCGACGGGCAGACCCAAAGCGACGGGGCGGCGACGGCGACCTCATAGCCGCCAGACCGACGGGCAGGCCCAGAAGACGGGCGGCGACGGGTCTGCGACGGGGCGGCGACGGCGACCACATAGCCGCCACACCGACGGGCAAGCCACTTCCTCGGAAAAGAATTAAGGACCCCTAAGTACAAGCAACGATTTAGGGAGTGAAGGGTGGGAGAGGAAAAGAGAGAGAGAGAGAGAAAGAGACAGAAAGAGAGAGAGAGAGCGAGATACACCGACACACACACACACACACGCCGACACACGCACACACACATACACACACACTCGCGATTGCCGCCTCCCGCCCATGTGCACACGCAGGCACGCACGATCACACACAGGCGCGCACGCACGCACGTGTGCGCTCGCATAGAGAAGCACGCCAGCATGCGAGTCGAACAGTGCTTGCATGCGTGGTTATCTTGTTCAGGGCAGCGCGATATTGAGCAGCGGTTGGCGTTACAGCTGCTTGTCTGAACTGAAACTGTGGCCAGCTCGAAGGGCTTGTCGTCCAAAGCTTGCCGCCGTCCATCTTGTTCGCGTCACAAGGGCTCTGTATTGGAGCGGAGGTCATGGCCAACACGGGGCACATAGCTCCATCGGGTCACGGGGCTAACACGGGGTCACAGCAGCCCCGGTGGGCTCCCGAGGGTTCCCGAGAGGGGTCACATGCATCCCCGCCAGCACGGGTGCGTGACCGCCGCAAATTGTCAACGCCACAGAATGGATGCGGCCACATTTTCTATGGAGCGAGACGAAGAGACATCCACATGTAAGATATACATGATTGCCTGAACATGCTGGATTTGGCAGCCACTTCCCCAACCAGGCTTGCCAATACCACATCGTTCCTTCATGCATCAAGCCTACACCAGCACGGTGAAGCGCTATTTGGACATGTTTGAGATTGACATCTAGTCCTGATGGATTGTCACACGGCAGCTAGATGCCCCTGCATGATAGTTTATGTTTGGCACTTGCCTCGCTTGAGTGAGTTCTGCCCCCAAGAAATGGAAACAATAATAATAAAGAAGAGGAGGAGGAGGAGGAGGAGGACGAGTGTTGGTAGGAGGACGAGGCGGAGCGCGGAAAGGGGAAGGCGGAAGAGGAGGAATGCGAGTGATGATGATGATGAGGAGGAGGAGGAGAAACTGCGAGGAGGAGGAGGATGCATAGGCAGCCGTCTCGCTTGACTGCGCGCCTGCACCCGCGACATACCTCATAGGCAGATCCCAGCGCCGCGCGCACCAGTATATCCTGGCGGCCTCCGTCTCCAGCCCGCCCGCGTGGACGACGGGCAGGGAGGCCCGAGAGATATGGGGCACCACTGCCTCCTTGAAGCGCCTCCCCTGGTCCTCCTGCTCCTCCCGCTCCTTCCACTCCTTCCTCCCGCCTGTCGTCCTCTTCCTCCTCCTCCCTTTCCTCCTTGTCATCCTGCACGCCAGTGACATTTAAGCGGCAGACGGTGCCGGCGAACTGGCTCGCTTCAGGTACGGTCGAATTTCCTGCACATCTCCCAGGTTCTCTTGCAACATACACAGACCCCTCTTCTCCGATTGTGCATAACACGACGGTTTTTTGTCGGAGTTCCAGGTCGGCTTGGACCCGCGTACGCGGATAGATCAACTACCAACATATTGGGAAGGATGGGTGAGAGGGGTAGGATGTCACATTCCTTGTGCACATCCTCGCCGCAATTACACAAACTGAATACTACTCTCCTCTCTCCCCTGATGACGTCCAGAAGATATCCGGCCCCCATCCGCGTATTGTTTTTACACAAGGTTCCCGGGAGTTGGGTTTTCGTCTTTTTCTGGAAATTCTGCTCCCGCTGAAGCGCTGGCCTCATTTTCGGGCTTCCGCTCGTTCCGAATCGTGCTCCCGCCACAGCGCTGGCCTCATTGCCGCGTTTCCGTTCGTTCCGGATCGTGCTCCCGTTGCAGCGTTGGTCTTCCTTCCGGATAGGCCACTGTATAGAAAATGCCCCCCCGAAAAAAACACAGGAATTGATTACACATTCGGTGTCGATTCGATGTTTATCTGGGCCGCAGAACCCCCCCATTTTGGGGCGTCGTCGTTTTCAGGAAATATCAAGCTGGAGCCCCATTTTTGTTTTGAAAGGGCGATGTTGAAAGCAGAGCCATTGGATGCTCTCCATCAGCCCCGCCTTGTTTGGAGCTTTTCGGGGAGCAGGAGCTAGACATGGAACCACGACCCTAGACCGGCCCAGACTTTTCGAAGACGACCCACTTACCCTCCAAAGGACCTGGCGCCATGCCATGACATGCTGTGCGGTGTTGTGTTCTGCGCCACTGTGCGATGCCATGCTTTGCGTTGCAATGCTTTGTGATGCAATGCTTCACTACGCAATGCCACGCCATGCCGTGCTCCATTATGCATCGCGTACCCTCTCGTGACCATTGCCCTGCTCGACATCCGACTGTGCGACTAGAGAGGATATCTACGCCATGGTAAGGGGTGGGAGGGAGGGGTAGGACGTCAGATATGACGCGAGCGCACCTAGCTTCCCCCCAAGACATACGGCATTTCCTTTTTCCCACACATCCTGTGGTGTTGGGTCCTCGCTTTGAAAAGACGGTCCCCGCGTCCTCCTCTCCTCTCCTCCTCTCCTCTCCTCCTCCTCCCCCTCCTCCTCCCTCCTCCCTCCTCCCCCTCTTCCCTGCGTTTCACCCACCCAGTACAGCGTTTCCTAGCCCCATAGGAGCTCCGCCGAAGGCCACAGTGCTGCCGCCCGCATGCGTCACCCACACACAATTCGGCACACCCCTCACACGTTTCGTGGCCCCATAGGAGCTCCGCCGAAGGCCCCAGTGCTGCCGCCCGCATGCGTCACCCACACCCAATTCGACACACCCCTCACACGCTTCGTGGCCCCATTGGGAGCTCCGCCGAAGGCCCCAAAGCTGCCGCCCGCATGCGTCACCCACATCCAATTCGGCACACCCCTCACACGTTTCGTGGCCCCATAGGGAGCTCCGCCGAAGGCCCCAGTGCTGCCGCCCGCATGCGTCACGCACACACAAAATTCGGCACACCCCTCACACGTTTCGTGGCCCCATAGGGAGCTCCGCCGAAGGCCCCAGTGCAGCCGCCCGCATGCGTCACCCACACACAATTCGGCACACCCCTCACACGTTTCGTGGCCCCACAGGGAGCTCCGCCGAAGGCCCCAGTGCTGCCGTCCGCATGCGTCACGCAGACCCAATTCGGCACACCCCTCACACGTTTCGTGGCCCCATAGGGAGCTCCGCCGAAGGCCCCAGTGCAGCCGCCAGCATGCGTCACCCACACCAAATTCGGCACACCCCTTCACACGTTTCGTGGCCCGATGAGAGTTCCGCCGAAGGCTACAGTGCTGCCGCCCGCATGCGGCACCCACACACAATTCGGCACACCCCTCACACGCTTCGTGGCCCCATAGGGAGTTCCGCCGAAGGCCCCAGTGCTGCCGCCCGCATGCGTCACCCACATCGAATTCGGCACACCCCACACACGTTTCGTGGCCCCATAAGAGCCCCGCCGAAGGCCCCAGTGCTGCCGCCCGCATGCGTCACGCACACACATGTCGGCACACCCCTCACACGTTTCGTGGCCCCATAGGGAGCTCCACCAAAGGCCCAGTGCTGCCGCCCGCATGCGTCACGCACACCCAAGTCGGCACACCCCCTCACACGCTTCGTGGCCCCATAGGGAGCTCCGCCGAAGGCCCCAGTGCTGCCGCCCGCATGCGTCACGCACACCCAATTCGGCACACCCCTCACACGTTTCGTGGCCCCATAGGGAGCTCCGCCGAAGGCCCCAGTGCTGCCGCCCGCATGCGTCACCCACACCCAAGTCGGCACACCCCTCACACGTTTCGTGGCCCCACAGGG